ATTTTTTTGTTGAACACAAAATAAGATATTTTAAACAATGTTGGAAACTGGTAACCATTGACTTTCTTAGTGTAAAAAAATTTTATGGAAGTCAATGAAAAACAGTTTTTACCATTTCTTCATTCATTCATTTTCCTTCGGCTTAGTCCCTTTATTAATCAGGGGTTGTCACAGCAGACTGAATCACTAACTTATACAGCATATGTTTTTCGCATCGAATGCCCTTCCAACACCAACCCAACCCTGAGAAACACACCATACAACATGACAGTTTTCAATTTTGGGTGAACTATATGGTGGCCGAGAGAGCTTAACGTGCTGCAATTTAAGAAAACACATTTGATTACAAAATCCGCCAGCAAATTTAGAAAAGATCACAAATCCTGCTGCAAATCCTCACAACGCAAACACATTTTTAAAAACCATGCTGCATTTTCACACACTGCAAACAAATTAATAAAACACGCTGCATTTTCATGCAACACAAACAATTTAAGAAAACGCACTGCATTGTCTCATAACACTCAAAATATCAGAACACAACGGAAATGTTTCAAGTGGACCCAAAAACGTGATGGACGCCACTGTTTTGTGACTATTGCTCAGTGAAGTTGTAGGTGATCTTTAAAAGGTGAGTTTTTTGTTTGTTTTTTTAACATCCTCATTCCCTTGTCTTTTGTAATTTATTAGCCTAAATAACCATAACCTAAACAGTCGAGTCCGTCACGTTTTAGGGTCCTTTTGAACATTTTCATTGTGTTCAGTGCTATTTGAAAGTGTTGTGGGAAAATGCAGCGCGTTTTCTTAAATTGTTTGCGTTGTGAAAAAATCCAGCACGTCTTAGTAAATTGTTTGTGTGTAAGCAAATGCAGCACATCTTAGTAAATTGTTTGCATGTGAGAAAATGCAGTGCGTTTTTGTAAATTGTTTGCGTTGTGAGAAAATGCAGCGCGTTTTTTTAAAAAAGTGTTTGTGCTGTAAGGATTTGCAGCATGTGTGCTATCAAACGGAAGCTCTCTCGGCCACTGTAGAACTATCATTCATTTATTAATTTTCTTTTTGGCTCAGTCCCTTTATTAATCAGGAGTCACCACAGCAGAATGAACCACCAACTTATCCAGCATATGTTTTTATGCAGCGGATGCCCTTCCAGCTGGGAAATACTCACGCACTCTCATTTACACACATACACTACAGACAATTTAGCTTACCTAGTTGAAGAACTATCACTAAATGTAAAATGTAAATTAAATTTAAAAAAATATTAAAGTAACATACATTATTGTAGAAGTACAATTAGGATGTCAATACAAATCTTGCACAAAGGGGAAAATAATAAGGAGAAATTGTTATAAAATAGCAATTTTATTAAAAAAAACCTTATAAAATAAATTGTTATAAACAATTTATAAAGTTATAAAATAAATTGATGCTTAACTATAAATTAAATCATATCTAATAAAGTGTAATTAAATAAAAAATGCTAAATTAAATTAAGTACAAAACAGAAACAAGGATATATATACTGGATAAGGAAGTAGAACACATGGTACAAATAAAATGAGCATCAGAAAAATAGTAAGAATGTATTAGTGATACATCAAATTAAATACTAAATAAAACAAATAGACAAAAACTAAATAAAATAAAACAAAAAGATAATTAAAAATGAAGTTAATAATAAATAGCAAAATGATAAAGAGTCATGTATCGTAAAGATTTAGAGATTAATTGAGAAGAAAAGGGCAAAGAAAAAAGGCAGTTTGTCATTTTTAGTCTTCTTTTTTTTCAAATTGTCATGCATTTTTTCCTGCGTCTGATTCAGCTGTATTGCTAAACCATTTGCTCACTTGTTAGGCTATAATTAAAATAAAATAAAATAATTGAAATGGCAAACAGGAAAGGAGTCAGGGTAGTAGTGTTTATTAAAGGTTTTCGTTACAGAGATGAAGGCACTCGTTGTCCCTCATTTGGTAAACAAGCAAAGGCTTCCTGAGCTCACAGTCCTTGTGGTCCCCTCAAGGGCCGTTCAGACTGACAGCGATTTGTAGCGACAAAGCAACCGGAAGTCATTCATTTTCAATGAGCGCTGGTGATTTGAGGTGACATGAGCAGCAGAGACCTTTGGCGATGTAACGAAAGTTGAGCAGAGTTCAGCTCTATGCAAATGCACAATGACATAATATGAGCACCAATGACAGTGCAGACGATGGAGCTCATGTGATCCAACACTGATCAGTTGTGATGGTTTGAACACCTTCCTTTTGCACAGTTCGACAAATGTGGGGCATATATTCATGTCTTCAATAGATAGTATACTGAAAACAAATGTACTTTATAGGTTCATTTTTTCTGTGGTGCACTAGAGATGATGTGTTGTGTTTTTAGAATGAATCAATAATGACACTTTTCATTTTGAAATCTCTTATGTAATAATTGAATCATTTCTTTCCATAGTTTCTTTGTCGTATTTGGGTTGCACATAATCCTATGTAATTTAATATAGTTTATGATTTCTTTCGGAGCCCAAAAAAGTTATTTTGAAGATGAATTTCTCTCTCACACACACACTTTTGTCCATATTATGAAAATCAGATCATCCAAAAATGAAAGCATATAGAGGCAAAGCAAGACAGTATATTACATTACTTGCCAAACATTACTATCTTTAACTCACATTCCCCAGACTGTCATGAACACACTGAGGACATTTTAAAAGCCAATAATGTTGTAAATAATGTTCAGTTTCTTCAACAGATGGATGATTTTGCTTCATACGACTCAATGTATTGTCAGGAGCTGTTTGTTTTCATCAGTTCTTGTTTTCGTCTATTATTTGTTTTTGCAATATGGTGTCATTAAATTAGATATTTAACAGTTTGTTCAACACTCTCAGAAATAAAGGTACACGAGCTGTCACTGGGGTAGTACTTTTTCAAACGATACACATTTGTACTTGAAGGGTCCATATTGGTAGCTCAAAAGTATATGTTAGTACCTAAATTTTTTAAGATGAACACTTTCGTTCTTTTTAGGTCCTAATATGTACCCTCGAGGTATTAATATGGACCTTTTAGGTATAAAATTGGATCTTTTGAAAAGGTACCACTGCAGTGACAGCTTGCATGCCTTAATTTCTGAGAGTGTAGTTTTCGAGTCCGATTGGCTGAGAGGTCCTTCTAGCCGTTTGATATTCTACCAGAGTTTCACTATTTGCATCACTCTGCCTTCAGGATTGCTCAGAAAGAGTTTCATGCCACAACTGCATTCATTTCATGCATTGTAACTTTAAGAGGTTCTCAAAGATGTCATTTAGACATCAGATATGCAGTTTATGTATAAATATTGTGCCTGAAAATGAGTTTTGAGGATTTTGGAGATGCAAGATCCAGGGTATGGATAATATACCTGGGGTTGTTAATTTGGAATCTGTATAGTGGTTAAATATGATATTTAGTTTTGTGTATAGTATATCCGAAGTCCCTTTAGGGCAAGTCATTACACTCGGCGGCCATCTTTGAAACGCCTCTCGGGCATTCTGTCTGAATAGGGAAACATCAATTTGCCAAGCTTAACATTATATTACATATTTGGAACCACCAATAAAATTAAACAACAACTGGCTCATAAGTTTTTTTTCTAAACGTTCCAATCAAACAAAATTGAAATTTTTTTAGGTTGCCCAAGCTAATGTGCATGTGCACTCGAAAGTAACGAGATCACGACACCAACCTCATTCATGGCTATTCAACACATTGTCATCCTTTGTATAACAGATCTCGCTGCACTTCTGAACAAATCCACAACTTGGTCTTGATGGTGAATCTCTTCCAGAAATGACAGCGACTCTTTGTTTACAAGTTTGTGGGCGTCTGAGTAGTTGCTGTCATGTGATGTGCGTTTGACAGGACGGACTGTACCTTGCATTAATTTCATATAGATTACAAAACCAAAAAAACTTGTTTTCAGGTGCACTTGATTTATTTAAAATAACAGATTTCAAGCTTCATATATTTCTTGTGTCTGCGAAGCAAGTATTCACTGAGATTCCAGTACGTTTGTTGACCACCAAACTGTTCCCCCTCTTCCCCATTCAAAACTATATGAGTGACTTGTGTATTGTATTGTCTTTGGTATATCTAACAGTCAATATTTATTCTAGTTAATCTGTTATTTATTCCAGAGCAAACACTTGTGACTGAAAGCAAAAAAATGTCATATAATTTGCTTTCATTTTTTGCAGCTTTTGAACTGTCTGCCTGTCTATAATAGGTGTTGTTTAATAAATATTATTATTTAATAATAATTTGTACAATGACAGTGTTCAGCACAAGTATTTGCTAATATATAATAGGAAATACTAGCAACCTAATGTTCGCCTGTCTCAGTAATCAATATATTGACTTACTGTGCAATTCATGGACATGAAATCAATATTTTTTAAAGACCCAATATATTCCATCATGTTTACATAAAAATTAATGTCAAATTACAGAATCTAAATGACTTTAAAGGGATAGTTCACCAAAAAAATGAAAATATGCCCACTATTTAATATCCCTCAAATGGTTTCAAACCTTTGTGAGTTTTTTTTCTTGTGTTTAACACTAAAGAAGATATTTTGAAGAGAGCTTTAAACCTGAAACCATTGACCTTCAAAGTAGGAAAAACAACTATGAAAGTCAATGCTTACAGTTTCCAGCTTCAAAATTCAAAATATCCTCTTTAATATTCAACAGAAGACAGAAACTCATAAAGGTTTGAAGAGAGAATTTAAATTTGTGGGTGAACCATTAAGAATGAAATGTCTTTGTCATTTGGTAGTGTTTATATAACATTATTTGCAATATTATATGCTGTTCGATAATCATTATACATTCAGTAGCATAAAATATATCACAACAATTTCACAACAAAATCATAACAGGCCTTTACACCATAACAAACAGCAGCTTGTGATTTTTCTTATAAAAACTAATCTGTTTTTCAATCTCTCATAGGTAACATCTTTGTGGTGAGTCTTTCTGTGGCTGACCTGGTGGTGGCGCTATACCCCTACCCGTTAGCTCTGATCGCCATCTTTCACAATGACTGGACGATGGGCTCCCTGCACTGCCAGCTGAGTGGCTTTATAATGGGTCTGAGTGTGATCGGCTCAGTCTTCAACATCACAGCTATCGCCATCAACCGCTACTGCTACATCTGCCACAGTCTTCGCTACGACCGACTGTATTCACGCCGAAACACCTGCCTGTACCTGCTGCTCACCTGGATGCTCACTGCTTTAGCCACCGTCCCGAACTTCCTCGTAGGATCCTTAAAATATGACCCGCGGGTTTTCTCCTGCACCTTCACCCAGACAGCGAGCTCTTCTTATACAGTCTGTGTTGTTCTGATCCACTTCCTTGTCCCGTTGGGTGTGGTTTCTTTCTGCTATCTGCGCATCTGGACGTTGGTGATCAGGGTTAAAGGACGCGTGCGGCCCAATCCAAAAGTCAGAGCGGCTGATTTGAGGAATTTCCTGACAATGTTTGTGGTGTTTGTGCTATTCGCCGTGTGCTGGGCACCTCTAAACTTCATTGGACTAGCGGTGGCCATTAACCCCGCAAAAGTGGCGCCCAATATCCCGGAGTGGTTGTTCGTTACCAGCTACTTCATGGCGTATTTCAACAGTTGTCTGAATGCTGTGGTTTACGGATTACTCAATCAGAACTTCAGACAAGAGTACAAACTAATTCTTCGTGCTCTTTGCACACCGAGAGCGCTGTTTACAGACAGTTCCAGGTATAACACTGAAGCCATTAAGAGTAAACAGTCGCCAGCGGGAACGAATAACAATGTGAAAGAAGCCAATGCGTATAAAGGCGGAGTGACACACACTCTATTCTAGTAGATCGCTTCTTGTTTACCGAACAACCATAATATTATGGTGCAAGGGGGCTAAAGGTGCACAAGGTAAAATAAATTTACATATATTTACATATAACATTACATTTCCAAACAACATACACCCATGGAGTCTCATGAAGTAGTAATGGGCTGTAAGGAGAGCAGTTGGGGGTTTAGTGCCTTGGTCTAGGGCAGGAATTCTCAATCTTGCTCCTAGAGGTCAGCTGTCCTGCAGATTTTAGTTCCAAACCTAATCAGACACACCTGGGCTAGCTAATCAAGCTCTTACTAGGCATTTTAGAAACATCCTTGCAGGTGTGTTGAGGCAAGTTGGAGCTAAAATCTGCGAGAAACCAGACCTCCAGGACTGAGTTTGAGAACCCCTGCTCTAGGGAATCACCTAAGCCGTGGTATTAAGGTTGATATTTATTCACCCTCCCCGCTAACAATCACTGCTGGTGCCGGCACTTGAACCTGTGACCTTTGGATCCCAAATCCAACTCTTTAAAGGCCATAGCCGCCCCAAAATACGTTTTTATTTTCTTCCAAACCACTACATGGCACAAGAAGTCGCCGCAGCAATTTTCTGCAATAGACCTGATGCATGGAGCATTTTTTAAGCTAGGCTAAAAAGTTCCTGTGAAAGATTAATGTGACTTCAGTTTAAATTCCATGAGGTTCTTTTAACAGCATTGATAGTGTAATACTTTATTATAATCAGTATATAATCAGTTAAATAGACCTAAACATTAATTTGGTTGTTCAACTATCCAGTACTTCTTGTCTGGTGTAATTTCCACTCTAAATGTAGTCTCAATCAGGCCATGGCGTATTAGGCATGGGCAATGTGGGCAATCTTCCAGTGCAGCTCCACAGCCACCATCTCTCTTTTCCTTTCTCTCTTAAACATTTTACTCCCGCCCAACCACCCCACTCCATCACAAACACCTCCAATCCTACCCCTCATCCCCCACTCTACATCTCATAAATCACCCAAGGGCCATTGAAAGTAGAAATGCCACTGTGATCAGGCATTGTAGATCATTCATTTTCAACATAGCAGATCTTAAACACGCCAAGTTCATAAAGGCTGGCTTATTGTATTTAATAGTATCTGTGCATAAGCTCAGTTGAGCATGAGGAAAGTCTAGATGATCACTGGCATAATTTCCGATGACAACACAGTCAATTGATCTCTAGGTACAGTAGATGTATGTCTGTTTGAAGTTACTGCCAGCATTAAACCAGTCCTGTGATGTATTTCAACTGAAACAGGACTTTGAACAGACTGGGGTTTAAATTTAGCACTTATTCTCAACATCTCTTTAGCCCAGTTTATACTTAAGTTTACACTGAAAAAAGTGTTGCATGCAGAACTGTTGCAAACAATTTATTTGTGTTGAATTTAAACAATCAAATTCAATTGAATAATGTTCAACTTAATGTGTTTGTTTAAATTCAACACAATTAAATTGTTTCAAACCTCTTAACATAATAAAATTGAGTAAATCCAAGGAATCATCTTTGAATAATTTTTTCAGTGTACTTTATTAAGAGAAGAAATAGGCAGTAACACAAAATAAAATACCCATGGAGGTCCTTTGCGGAACTCAATACTACAAGCTAAACTCATGCACAACCGGTCTCTTCTTCTTCTTTTTGCCCACCAACCCTGGTCACAGCTATACCAAACTGGCCAATCACAGATCTTGCACTCCACATCATTTTTTTGTTCTGTGCAAAGGCTACACTGGATGATGCAGATGTATCAATTGGGCCTTGCTGCTCGTAAACTAATATTTGCAGAAAAGTGGTTAAAATATTCTGGCCAAGCCAAAAAACATACTTTAACTCTTTATATTTGGAGGCCCACAATTATAAATAGGCAGAAAATAATAAATCTTGTTTGATAAAAAAGCAAAATACAAACAAATACAATGAACAAAATGTATTTAATTTTAAACCTTAAATGCAGAAAACAAGGAAACTGCAAGAAAATGTAGCTAGGAATATCTTTTTCACAATATCATTCATAAGCTGCAACTGAATTTTAGGGCAGTATGGTGGAGCAGTGGGTAGCACAATCGCCTCACAGCAAGAAGGTTGCTGGTTCAAGCCCCGGCTGGGTCAGTTGGCATTTCTGTGTGGAGTTTGCATGTTCTCCCCGTGTTCGCATGGGTTTCCTCTGCATGCTCCGCATTCCCCCACAAGTCCATAAACATGTGGTATAGGTGAATGGGGTAAGCTAAATTGTCCGTAGTGTATGTGTGTGATTGAGAGTTTATGGATGTTTCCCAGTGATGGGTTGTAGCTGGAAGGGCATCCACTGCATAAAATATATGCTGTATATGTTGGCGGTTCATTCCACTGTGGTGACCCCAGATTAATAAAGGGACTAAGCTGAAAAGAAAATGAATGAACTGAATTTTAACATTAAGAATTATATAATTTTTTTTGTGTCAATATTATTTTTATGATACATACAGAATTACGTTGCCCTCTTTGAATAATGTTGACCTGTTTAAATCCCTTGCAGTCATCTATGATCATTATTTACCTGTAAGCTATTTTAAAAACACACCAATATTTTAACACCAGTATTCTAATGGCTGGTAAAAAAAAATCTGTCACTGTCTGGAATGTGTGACTTCACTATGGAGATTATTATTATGAATTGTTTATCATTTGTAGTACCGCAGCATACAGTCTCAGCATAGCACAGTGTGTTGTTTTGCTTCACAGTTTTTCATCAGACATCAGACATCAGGGTGTGTTCACACTTGGCAGGTTTTGGTTAGATTAAAACTACTGGTGCCGTTCATTTAAATAAGTGCGAGCGCTTCCATCCAAATGCTGGTGCGCACCAAACAAGCAGAGACTGCAGAAACATCCAAATATGCTCAGAACAGCATGTCACAAGATACAACCATAAAAAATGAAATGCTCATGGCATACCTGTTTTTATCTTTTCATTCCACTTCAGTGCAGGCATTGAAGAGCTTAATAGATCTATTTTGTCACATTTTATAAGCTATTCGTGACTTCTCTGATAAAAAAAGCCATTACACACTGGAAAAATGCTGCACACAATCGATTTGTGTTGGAAAGCATGAAGGAATTAAGTTAACTTAATAGTGTTCACAAATTTAAGGGGATTGGACATAAAACCATTAAGTTGTCCCAAAAAAACTCATTATTTTGTTAATTCATTCATTCATTTTTCTTTTGGCTTAGTCTCTATTTCAGAGGTCGCCACAGCGGAATGAAACGCCAACTATTCCAGCATATGTTTTATGCAGCAGATGCCCTTTCAGCTGCAACCCAGTACTGGGAAACACCTATACACACCCATTTGTACCTGATTTCACCAAGTAGGACATGTTCCTGGATTAACATCTATGTTGATCCTGGAACAACTTTCCAATCAGCCAATCATAATTAAGTGATGTGTTTACTGTTTATGTTAAGCTTAGGCTTATGGTTAGGTTTATGCACTTGATTATCCAACTATTATTCCCCTCTACTTTTTGAGAGTAATGTAGAGTTATGATTGGGTTTAGGGGTGGGGAATAAGTTTGGATTACATTTTCTAACAAAAATGATGTTCCATGATCAACATGGATGTTTATTTTGACTGCTATACCATCATAAAATAGTGAAAATAACCCATCAAAAAAGGCTTTTAAGACCAAGCGGAATCCTCTGTTGGGTGTAGCTTCGGTGTGACTTCAGCTAATTAGATTTGGCCAGTGCCATCTTACGCCACTGTATTCCTTTTAAATAGAGATAATATGTGACAAGTAACTTTTATCCTAAATCTTTTAATTATTATTATTTTTTTTTATTGAAATGGCTAAATTCCATGAAATATTGAAAATGCTGGCCAGTTTGTTATTTGCCTAATAAATGACAATTTATGGAGGAAGAAACCTGCAAATACAATAAAAAAATAAAAAAATGTATAAATAAATATCCCAATAAATAAATAAATGTAAGAAAAAGATCTACAAATTCCGACATAAATTGATATATAAGTAGTTAATAGTGCAGACAAATTCCACGAATGTTGGGGGAATTAGAAATTGCTAAACTGAAAGTTTATTTTCCCTCCTTTTAAACATTTATTTATTTCTTGAACGTAGTTCCGTATTTACTTTTTCTCAGGTCAACATGCTAATGAGAATGAATGAATAAATGTTCAACCTTCTTGCTGTTAGGCGATTGTGCTACCCATTGCGCTACCGTGACACATTTTCTAATGATTTATGATGTAATTAATGTGTATTTAAAAATATATATATATATACATATTTTTCACAATTATTTTTTCTAAATTGTTATGAAACATTTGGTGCATCAAACAGTGTGGTTATGATGACCATCAAACAAACCATTTCAGCTAATAATAGTGTTTAAAATGTCACTAAAATGCAGCCTTTAATCTCATAATTGAATAGAAAATGAGGCAATTGACTGCAAAAAGTTATCCCATTTTTGAGAAAAAAGAACCACCCTTTCAGCAGGCTAGCCACGGGCCTGGATGTTAATCCAGGATCGTATCGTACTTGGCAAAATCCTGACATGCCACACTCATACACTATGGCCAATTTAGTTCATCCATTTCATCTATAGTGCATGTCCTTGGACTGTGGGGTAAACTGGAGCACCTGGAGGAAACCCACATGCAAACTCCACAGTCAAATGCCAACTGGCCCAGCCGGGACTCAAACCAGCAACCTTCTTGCTGTGGGGCAACCGTACTAACCACTGAGCCACCGTGCCACCAAAGAATTTAGTTGTTTCAGCTTAATTTAAATAATTAGTTTGAACAAACAGCAAACCAGATTTTTTTTTTTGTTTGAGTGCATGCACATGCTAGCATCTGTCTCCACAAAAAATAGGTCATAAAGAGTTCATGATGTTTTTCTCTAGAGTTTTGGTTTTAAAAATGAAACCAGGAGTAAATGTATCATATTTGGACCAAACCAAATTAAGCAAAGG